AATGAATCATAGCTCAAGTCACTGTTGTGATCTGTTGAGTGTTTGGAAAGAGATGATGAGGTAATTAAACTCAATCATAGAAACAGGCATACTCTGTTTATCAAAAATGAATTTCACCTTAAACACTGGTTTATGTGCAACATTATATGCCGCTTAAATAGATTGCGTAGTTGTTTTTCCAAGATGATGTGCCCTACCCAACTAAATGACATATGTTGTCACTACAATTGCACAGCATGGTTTAACTTCTTTACTAGATGCCACAGAATATGACTGACTCAGGTGTATCACTGCAAATGTAAACCGACCACTGTTTGAAGTTGTCTTTGTGGGCCTCCTGTGTCTAATTGCCCAACTGTTCAAATGTGAAGAGCCACCCCTTGGAACAAGACAGCTCTTGCATTGACAATCCCAATAAGCATGCTTGTCTCACTTCGGTTCTGCCTCAGTGGAATCACTGGGAGGTTCATGTGCTAGGCAGCATTTAATCAACCAGGGGAAGAAGGGACACAGAACTGTGATCATGCAAATGCAGCTGCATGAAAAATTCAAGAACCAAATGACAAGCCCTGGTGTGCCGATGCTGACAGAGGAAGGAAGAGAGGCACATCCCGGGGAAAAACATGACACTCCATGGAGAATTGTGAAAGCATAATCTCCGCCTGCCGCCTAAGGTAAGTGGGGATATTGTCTGCATTAATGTGGCCTAGCTTTGATGCTTAGGGAAGAAAGAACCTGAGAACTGCTGGGGATGACAATAGACACTAAAGAGTCACAAGTCCCCTGCTTTAAAGGAACATTGATTGTACAAATGCCATTTGGGATGTCAAACGTGCACAGAGTTTAGTAGAACATCCCCCCTGCTGCATGGAAATGAGACAGGCTCCAACATGTGGGTTCCAATACGTCTTTGAACACAGCCACTCTGTAACACGGCTGATGGCTCTATTTGTTGAGTGTCTAAGGTTTTCTTGTTGAATAGCATTAGATCACAAAAAGCTGTTATCCCACTGGTTGCTTTTTTGAAATGGGCCATGACAAATCTTTGAAATTGCTCACTAATTTCATGTCCAATTGCTGACATTTTGGAGCTTGTTTGCACAGATTTCTATTCAAGTGATGCCCCGAGGAGGGATATCATATCTCTCGCTGGCGTCCGTGGGAGAATCATCAGCCACTCTTGACCTCGAGCATGAGCCGTCCTCATGCTGAATCCTGTAAGACCTTGGACTGCCTTACAAAACCCCAGGACAGAGAAACCATTGATTACCACTTCTCCTCCCTCTATTCAGCCTTTAGACATACAATATCTGAGCACCTAAATCAGACATTTCTAGTTCAGGACCATCCTTCATCACAAACCTTACGCTCTGTCTTTGCCATCATGTGAATTCCTGTATGCATGTGATGTCACTGATTTGGCAAAGCCCCCCCACATGCACAAGCCCCGATGAGATGACATGGACCTCTGTTTGACTCCCATCTGATGACCTTTTGGTCCTATCCTAAACAGGCAAGAGCCGTCATAAAGAAGGAATTGATCCACACAAGACCCCCCGACTGCAGCACACACGTGCATGTGTTTGTGTGTATCCACAGTGCCATGAACCTCAGGGCCGCGCTCACTCATGACTCAGTGACTCACCCAACTACTGTGCCATCCTAACCCCGGTTAGCCCCCCAGGATGTGTGGGAATGTGGAGTCAGGCTATTTCCCTTGGGCTTCTACCAGAGAGCTTGTCCTTTGCTTGGTGAAAGGGTAAATTAAGGTAGTGAGGTTGTATTTAAGTTCATATTTCCCTTGTGTACGAGAGAGGAGACCAAGGACATGGGACATTGATCGCCCTGAGTAAATGTTGTCCAGTCGGAAAACAGCTATTAAATGAGAAAAGTATAGGTCTTACTTCCAACACCTGTGCTTCCCACCCTATGAGATAGGTGAGATCAAAGTAAGAAATTAAGATATTGTATCTAGTTTTACATTAAAACCTCCAGAGGAAAACTGGAGATTTTTTGGCCATGAAAATACATTTGACTTGACCTTATGGTTGCACATAACTTATCAAAGAGACATTATCAAGTTACCATAAGTGGAACTGGTCTCAGCTTCTAAACATCAGTGGTAGTGCTATTAAAGAAACACCATTTCAGCCATCAACTGCCTCCTGATTTGCAAAGAGAAATGACAGTATGATCCAGTTCTTTGAAAAGGCTCAACGGATCATGGGAATGGTTAAACTGACCTTTGTACATGCTTTGCTAGTGACTGGAAGTTAATGAACAGGAGGACCTCGGTGGATTTGATGGATCTATGAATGCGGCGCAGCAGCTGATGGCCTTCCCAGGAGGTGGAACACTTCAGTAGCAGGTTCAATAGCTCATTACCATGCAGTCCCTCTGGATAATTAGTGAACAGTGGGATCCTGTCACAGGGACAAATAAACATGTACTCTCCTTCCCTATCAAGATGCCTTTACTGGTTCTAAAACCGTATACATTAATGTCAGTTTCTACTTTAATGGTATAATATTGAGCCCATCTGGTAGTTTTTTATTGGGCTGCTACTAATTTTAACACTAACATTTGAGTTTGTTTATTTAATGTTGGTTTTCTACATACTTGCGACACCAATATGTAAGGTTTGTGATATTTTAAAGATTAAAAACCAACTTGCCTGTGTGCTTTGTTTTGACAAACGGAGATGCTGATAATGTTTCTATCTATGGATGGACTTAACAGGCTGCATATTGAAAGCACAATCACTTTCATTATGCATGTAAAACGGAATAAAATTGGCCTAAAATGGAATCTGAATCAGTGCCAAGATGAGTGAATGGTAAAGCAGCTGATACTGAGAGAATAATTTTACTGAATCATGTGTGTTTGGGTTTTTTGTACTGAAATGTATTGTTACTTTTTTATTGACTGACTCCATTATATTATCAGCAATAAGAAAATATCACCCAATGATTTGCTTATGTACAATGTTCCATTTAAATAAGATCAATTAGAACGCTTGATTAGTTTCATTGATCATTTCGTAACTTAAACAATATATTGTTATGATTTTGTGTGTGCTATAATCCTAAAATGTATTTCAATGTTACTCTTCAAAGATGTTTCTGAACAGGGTTTAATGGATTACTGCGAGCATGTTTTGAGGTTTCAGAATAGGCCCTTTTAACCCTATCTTCCAGCTATGACATTTAAATGTTTCTCAATTTTGGGGCAAATATTTGCTCCCTGTTCAATATAATGTAATGGAATGGAATCTTCAGTAGGATTTGTTTTTGTTTAAGGAATCCCTATATTCCCTGCAGCAGGCAAGTCATAAGGAGGTGGGCGTGAGGTGCATATGTGCTTAAAGGTAAAAGTAGGTTAACATAATGGTTTTTGTTGATTGATAACAAAATAAACAGGTCTTATGCACTTTGTGGTGTCTTTTGCTGTTTCAAGACCCGGATCTGTACGTAAACCATAACTTAATGCAACATTAAGTTATGGTTATTTTGAAGCGGACCTACAAAAAACAACATTAACAATGATTTAGTTGCTGTGAGCATATTGACTTTGAGGAGTGAAGTACTTGGACAGTAAAAAATAACATTTGTATAGATAGACAATTAAGGACTTACTGTAGAATATGTTTATTACAAATATTTCCTCATTCAATTGCTCATTTAATTTAAAAAACAATTGTTCCACATGTATTTTTTCTATAGCGTGTTGTAAATGTAATGTATGGGAGATGTGATTGTACCCTGAGCTTAGATCCATACATTTTAACAATAGACATACATCTAAAAATTACCCTTTTTCTTTGTCAATATTAAGATAAAAGGATGTTTGACCCTGCTCATGCAGCCCACCCAGCAATACAGAAGCACAACTGTTCAACGGTAATGAACTAAAGAAACAGCTTGAAGCTGAAAATAAAGTATGGCTATCCACACACCCACTATCATAACTATGCTATCGCACATCTTGTGTGCATTGTAACATAGATTTCCACCTGATAGTTTAGCAAGATGCTTACAGCAAAGGCAAAAAGGTCATGTTTTGCTTTGATGATCAGTTTGTGTCACATTACTCATCCACAGCCCCCGGTGCCTGTATGCTTAATCAACACAGCTGAACAGAAAACACTTCCTGAGTGAAATTAAAGCAGCATCAAAGCATTGGAAGTCGACAGAAATAGGGTTTTTTTCCTTCTTATGGACAACCCTTTAAAGGCTTTTTGTTGTGTTGCTCACATAAGTATGTAATATCTAATTTAATTAGCCATGTAAGCCATCTGACAAACAGGCATATGGTCCTTGCTCTCCCACGGCCTTGGCCAAGGAATGAATATGCATATCCTGGGACCCCAGGAGCTTGTTACCCTGGAATGAATTCTACACAAGCCTAAACCCTGAGCTATTATTTACCCCTTGACCAAACATGCAAGTAGGGCTCGCAGACGCTTGACTGGGATTCTGCTGCCTCTCTGAGCCCAGTGGAGGAGCCAGGCTGAGGCAGTCACTCTGAGGAGCTGCATGTCTCTCTTTCTGCTTAGCTCTTCAAACACACACATAAGTAACCACACACTCCTTCAACTCTTCACTCTTGAGATGTCTCAGTCAAATGTTGAGCAAATCCTCACATAAACAAGCGCACAATTAATCTTTAATGAGCGCACCCACTTCTGAGGGAAATGAGGGACACAAGTTAGGAAATCAGTGTCACATCCCTGCAGTACACACACAAACCATAAACTATTTCCAACTGCTGAAAACACGTGTTCGTGTGTGCACGCGCATGAGGAGTGCGTGTACTGTAGCTACCCCTCAGGGTAGGGAAAGTGAAAAAAGTGAAAGTTTGCTTTATGCAAGAGAAATGCAGCTTGTTCCCCCTTAAGTTGCTGTAATACAGTTTTTAAAAGATGGCAGGAAATTAAATTGCTTTAGATGTATTTGTTGTTCTTTATTTGCCGTATAGATGCATTTTCTTACAATATTATATGGGAATGTAATTTTAACCACAATGCATCTGAACTAAATGCACACAGAGGGAAAATATCACAGATCTGTTGCTGCTTTTCAAGTGTTTCCATGGGCTGTAAATGCGGATCTCATTGCCGATTTCCTATCTGCAGGCTGAGAATTGTTGGCACGTTTTTTTCGTTGACACTTCCTCCTGAGACATCACCGTAAATCTGCTCATTGGGCACAAACACTCCTTGGACCGACAGTCGCTCGGGTTACAGTCGCACGGCGTGTAAAACTCAGGTCTGAATCCACAGCACCTTCTCTCAGCCCGGATCGTCCGCAGCTCTGCGCTGACTCTGCAGAAGGAAACCATCGGGGGAGTGTATGAAGGCGTTTTTTAAGCGTTTTTCTCAACGTAGGACAAGCAGTTACAAGACGGCTTCTGGTTGTCAGCGATCCCTTCTGTTTCCTTCACTTCTTCGTTGTACGGTTTTGGGAAAAGAAGAGGGGACAGACTGTCGTGTTCGTGCGTTCCTCTCCGTGAGACCGACGCGTTTCCAAACGTCTTGACGCGCGTTTTTCTCAGAGAAGGATCCCGGACACAGTGGTTCTCAGGATAAAAAGAGTGACTGTTGTATAGTAAAAACTGACATTAACGGCTAAGATACGTTTGTGAAAGAAACACCGACGTTGAATCACCTCACACTGCGCGCAGGATTGAAGAGGAGAAAGTTCCCCACTTGAGGGCGAAATCCGACTTTTTTGAGGACGCCAAGTTTGAAAAGTGCCAGGAGCCCCGGGGTCTTTCAGATACAACATGCAGCAATGGTAAATAACATTTTCCTGCTCCTGCTAACTCAATTCATTAAGTCCTAACACACTACTTTTATAAGTGAGTAACTTTTTAAAACTTCTGCACTGATCTGTTATTTGAACTCATCAGATAGATACAAAGTCTTCCAGAGTACTTTATTTCCCTCTTGTTTCTGATTCTTATGACTCATCCACTGGATTTGTTAATACGTCTGCTTTCAAATGAAATTATTTCCTCTGCTGGTCTTTTCTTTCTCTTCTATATGTGTCTTACAAAATCAATATTTGTGAGCATATACAGACGCACTACAAAACGAGACCTAAAGCCTTAATCTTCTGAACTAAGTTAATAAAGTATTACTTCACTTAATATAGTTTTATAGTTTTCGTCACGCCTTGAAAGAATTACTCAATTCTCTGCTGTCCAAAGGAGGATTCAAAAACGTTTACGTGACATTAGGGGGCAAATTGTAAACTCCAGATACAGAGTAAATAATTGTTTAATTGTTGATATTTATGTTGTAAGCAACTCTATGCTACCTGTAGATTCTGGCCTTCACATTTACAGACCCATGCAAACCAATGAATGATTCAAGGTAATTTACTGCAGTGTCTTCAGATAGCATACACAGGGATGATAAAAATATGTTGTCTGTTTACTTAAATAAGAGTGAGCAGACTTAATTTCATAGCTTGCAGCAACATTTTTCAAGTTATTTTTTTTAAGGCCTAAAATCCCTTTGCTGAAAATCCTGCTTCAGCTTTCAACAGGATTCCTCCTTTTCCTGTTTTTCTGAGACAGTTTTCTGATTTTTTAAAATGTATTTACTGTTTTTTTTCCCTTGTTGAAATGTGCTCTGTTTATAGAAGTCTTTATCAGATATCATACAAAAACAGACAAGTTTGCCTGTGTTAGATTGCAAAGAAAAGCTTCAGGTAAATAAATTGTTGCATTGTACGATGCTGTTTTTATAGCCTAAAAACAATCTGACAGAATTCTTTGCTAAATAAATTTGATTTGAGGCCCTGTGCTACGGTAACTCTCCAGGAAAACTCTTTTGGTCAACGTGTGACAGTGAAACACAAGCAGAAGCACACCGAGGCATTTCATGTCAGGGTAAGACATTTCATCGTGGACATATCTGAGAGCTTCAGGAGACAGGGAAGACGGAGGGAGAGGAGCAGAAAAAGAAAAAAACAGTGAGAGAGAGATTGAGATGAATGGCCCCACTTAAAAGCAGCAGAAAAGTACCTACACACTTTCATCAGTGAGATGTGTGTGAGATTAATGTCTAGCACAGTATTTTGGCCTGGTCTTGAGTGTGTGTAAGGGATGTTTCATGAGCCTGAGCCGGTGCTGCTTCTACACTGAAGAATGCCAATTTACATTCCTGGAGTGTCATTTCATTACTTTTATCTCCGTGCTGCTTTCTCCCTGCCAGGCCAGTCAGGGATCGGTGCAACTCAAATTGACTTTTTTACCGCACAAGTCACAGAAACTAAAATCCCTGTATTCCCTTGTATGTGTCTGTTTCTGTTTCTCTTTTGTACGTCAGATAATTAAACACTTATTACGTTCTTATTGGCACAGAATACGTGCTGGTGTGTTGCAGGAAAATACATAAAATAACAGCAGAAAAAGGTTGGAAAACAAAACATAATGAAGAAAATGTCGAGGTAAATGTCCTCGTTATGCACTGACGAGTCTCAGCCTACAGCGCTGCTACGTGAGGTTAAAGAAAAAGTAAAAGTTGTCAGCGAGGCTGCAGCTAGGTCGTGATTCCTCTGGGTCTGTGGGAATCAGAGAGGGGAGAGTGTGTGAGAGGGTGTGTGTGTGCGGGGTGGGAGACACTGGTTAGTCGGTTCAATAATCTGCTGGACAGGTAGGCCTGTGACGCCCCCCTTAGAGAGGCTGCTAATGAAGAGAAAGGCTGCTTAGTGGTGCTCCGCTCTGACCCCTCCACCCCCCCCTGTCCCCCCTGCTGGCTTCCTCTGATTACTGCTCACATCCACAACTCTACCCTCCTCTTCTTCCTCCACTCCATCCTCCACATTTCCCCTGATATTCTTAAACCCTGCCTCTATTTGAAAAGAATGGGGGCTAAGTGTATAAAGGGTCTCCTGATGACCCATTGGGATTTATATATGTTCTGCTCTTGTTTTTATTTGTGTATTCTTATTAATTTCCATATTTTAGTGATTCATTTTCTACTTGGCCTTCTCGTTCAGACCCATTTTCTGAGCAATTTTAGTAAAGAGGAGGCTCTAATGTGAAGAGCTTAACTCGAGCGACGCGCAGGTGAAAGGAAATATGTGTTAGAGCAGGAAGAAAAAACAAATAAACATTTATTTTAGATGAAGGGAGAGATGTACTTTCACTCATGCTTACAGGTTTAGATTTTCAGCCTCAAAAACATCCAAGAGAGGTTCATGCTGCACCAAAAAGCCTCTGCTCCTCTCCATCTGTCCTCAGTCCCAATAATCTCTCGAGTGACCGATAGTGTGTCTTGGCAGTGACAGAAAAGGTAATATTTTGAGAGGGGTCAGATACCTAGTGGTGGCTTGAGATGAAAATCTTGAACAAGACACGGTAACCCAAGCAGCAGGCTGCAGCGACTAAACAGAGACACTGTGAAATGTTCAAACAAATTGGATGGCAGGAGTCCTAATTTAATAAAGAGCACAGTGTGAGACATACTTGATTTAAAACAATATACATATAGTAGACATAATTACATTTTTTGTACCTCAGCACACAAAGCAAGAAACTAAATATTCACACACTTACACTTTTGAAAACTCTCCAGCGTCCTCCAAATACATGATTAAATTAAGTGAGTGTTCCTGTGATTCTTACGTCAAAGAAAGTAGAAAAGGTAATGAATAGGGTTAACAGCTGTTATGAAATGTATATTTAAGATGTGTTTAGTTTTGTACTATCAATGATGTTAATATCTCTATAGTTTTTTTGTACCTAAATGAACGTATTTTCTCTTTACTTTACATTACAATCTGGCTCTGTGCTCCAAGCTGTGTTTAAACTGTAAACTGATACGTGTACTTACATGTGTTACATTTTTTGTATACTTTTTTTTTCTATGGGGTTCATTTCACATGCTAATCCAAACACTATCATATTCCTTCAGGAAGGAATCAGCGAAACTTTGGTCTTATTACGTGAACACACCCAGTGTGTGCAGAAGCCACACACTCCCTCGCTCTTCATTTGTTTAAAGTGAGAAATGATAGAACACATTTTGCACAGCTCCGCCTTTAGTAATACACCCTCCGCTGCATTTTTCACTCGTCCCAGACACGGTCATGATTCTTATATTTTCAGCTGTAATTTGGGGTGGCCTTAATTGATTCCGTCCAGAACTAATTACCGGCAACTGTGTAAAATAAACACTTCAGTGTCACTGGGTGGCAACTGTCCGATCGGTAGGGAAATTACATTTCACTTGTAATCCATACGTTCTGCAGCACGGCAGGAATATAATTCATGTCGACGCTATAGAAATACCAGAGACGCTGGACTTGTGTAACGAACAGGAGTATAGTTGTAACCAAATGGCTCAGTTGGGAGGTATAGGGTTATGTGGTATAATTTATATTTTATAGCTCCCTCCTGCACTGACTGCACTCCAGAATAAAGTTGTTCGATTTTGTTCCATGAACAGTGAGTGAGAAAATCTGGGATTTCGCTTTTGATGGAAACTCCAGACACCACTTTGTTCCTTGCTTTCTTCTCGTATTTTTTATTTTCCTGTTGAGTCTCATTTATTGCTTCCAGATAAAAAGACACCTAACTGCTGCAGTTACAATACAGAGTGTTTATGTGGATGTTGTTTGTGTGCTTTTTTGTGGGGGGGGGGTGCATCCATGGCCCATGCTTCAGTGATTCAAAAGGCATGGAAAGATATCCTCAGGCCATACAGAGTGATTTGATTAAAAGAGAATAATTTGCCCTAAAGGTGTCTTTTCTCTTCTCTCCCAAAAGCTAGTGGAAGAAATCTGATATGACAAGATAAGTGGTGGCTCATGAAAAATTCCTGAGGACTGAGACGTAGCATGTTGACTTTGGAATTATTGCCCTAAGTGTCTAGTTCTTTGCTAGCAACTGTGCCTGACAATGTTATTTTTACCTGAGTAGACTTTGAAATCATTCCCTGGGTTCTAAGTCCCGATTTCTCTCGTTTAAAACCTGTCCAAAGAATGGACCAAATACATTTCCTGATTCTTTTTTTACCTTACATCAAAGTACTCTTTAATTGTAAGGTACCAATTAGTGTTAAAAGAGAGTGGAATACCAATTTGAAAGGAAAAAATGTCTCAGATAGTTGTAAGCAGGGTTTTTGGGCTTGTACATTATACTTGGGGGGAGGGCGCTGACATTGCATGTAATTGCTCAGCCAATCAGGATAAGCCCAAAAATGTCTCAACTCAATACCGGTAGCAGAAATGTCCATCATAGCCAAGTGTACACATGTTTTAGTAACTGGAAAAGCAGTACAAGTGAGATGATTACCTGCGTCCAACTGTGGCCCTGCTGATGCAATGCTTCCCTTCCTGATCCAATATTATCGTGGCAGCAGGTGATGTGTGCCAGGTTGCAGTGATGTCTGCCTGAGCACAGGGCAGGCAGGCTGCTTTTAGGACCACAGATCGGGGCTTCCACTCCTTGTAAAGACCACTCCTGCACCTAAAACATTGGTCTTTCCTGAATGACAAAAGCATAACATGAAAATGTCATAATGTTAATTCACAGGAGTGATTTGGCACGTTTGCAAGGGTGGATGGTGTGTTACTTTTATTTTTGTCCCTGAACAAATTAGCTGACATAACTTCAGACAGTACCATAATATTTACGTAGGTTTTCTCCATTCTACTCAGCCATTAATACTTTAAGTATAATTTGAGTGGCTCCAAACTATCTTTGGCTAGGATTTGAAAGCTGGCTTCACTCTCTTTGGTAGAAAATACAGGCATCCTGCTCAACTCAACTTGGCTTTCAA